CCTTTATGTGAATCGGCTTGCTTTATTTTTACATTTTTCGATCACAGCGCGATGTTTTCGTCGCGCTGTGATGACGTCAAATGCGCGCTTTCATCGAGCGTGATTTTGTACTCCGCGGTTTTGTGGTGGAACCATTTCTATTACTGTTTCAGCAAATGAAATAGGGAAGTGTGTTTGAATGCAAAGGTTCAAGATCACGGGGACATTGGAAATATATTTCAGATTTTTGCTTAAACATTCAAAATTAGAACTGGACTAACCTGTACTATGTGTGTGGTTGTTGTATGACTCACAAGGTGTTTATTTCTTCCTCTCCATATTAACCCTGCATTCATGTCCTTGAATACTCTTTGCTCACAGTGTGTAATTTACTATGACTGAAACCTCACTGAGGCAAGAAAAGAAAATGTAAAACTCATGCAGCAGTAATTTATTCCCATTAACTCTACTGTCACATAAATTAAGGGCTGGTAGGTCATGAAAGTAAGTGTATTTGTTTTTGCTTGTGATGCTGTATATACAAGATCTTCCATGCTATCTCAAGTCCTACACAGATAAGTTGTGTAATGCATCTGGAAAGCATCATGTTGGAGAAGCCTAATTTAAAATAATGGTCCAAATAAAGCCGTGTCATCTGACTCAAATTAGCTTTCTGCAATCTCAGATACATGCACTTCAACTTTCATAATTCTAATAAACTGAGAATTCTAAGAACTGAATTGCATATACATTTAGATTGCCCCAGACTTTTCAAATAGGGAAGAATGCAATGATCTCCATCTCTTTTGTCATTTCTAGCTTATTACTGTTGAAGAAAAGAGTTTTGTTTCAGATGTACAATTCAGCTTTGGAATCATCATTCTGTGGGATCCAGCACCATATCATGCCAGTATTTATGAGGTAAATGTCATTGGTGTACAGTATGTAGGATGTCTAGAAAAGTTGGTGGGCCAAGGGATAGTACCGTATTTCATATGTCTTTCATTTTAGTATTTCATTGAGATGTTTTCTGATCTCCAATTTAAATGAACTCCTTTTAGGGAGTTTTCTTTTAATATAGCCTTTCTATCAGCATCACACAAAATATTCCTTCTTGGGAGATTGGCAACAGCCACTTTAACATAGTAAAGGTAAAGGTCCCCCTCACGTATATGTGCTAGTCGTTCCCAACTCTAGGGGATGCTGCTCATCACCGTTTCAAACCCAAAGAGCCAGAGCTGTCCAAAGACATCTCATGGTCATGTGGCTGGCATGACTAATACCAAAGGTGCACAGAATGCTGTTACCTTCCCACCAAAGGTGGTTCATATTTTTCTACTTGCATTTTTACATGCTTTTGAACTGCTAGGTTGGAAAAAGCTGGACAAGTAACAGGAGCTCACCCCGTTACGCGGATTCAAACCACTGAACTGCTGACCTTCTAATTGACAAGCTTAGCCACTGAGCCACCACATCCCCTTTAATGTAGTTTATAGGTTTTCAAATAAAGCTGTTCTCAAAGGCAAAGCAAAGTATAAATATAGTTTACTGCCTTCCTATGCTTCTCAAAAGCATTACTGGGTCGTTTTAAAGAAAGAGCACAATATCTTTCGTGTTAACTCTTTTCACTGTTAATATGATAGTTTCACTTTGTGTTTTGTAAAACAAAAATGTTTTTGAATTTAACATATCTATAACCACAAGAGAGAGCTCTTGCACAAGGAATCATTTCTTAAAACTTCCCTGTATTTTTTTTCTGTTAAGTTAATTTATTCTTGAACTATATCTAGGAAAAAGATCCAAGGACATTTACACCAGTAAAAGGACATGTAAATTCTATTACATTTTGTATTTATTTAATGATATGCTATTTTCTATTTTATGTTGTATCATTGCTGTAGGGATAGCACAAGGAGCTCCTGTAAACACACACACACACACAAACACGCACAATTACTTGAGATTGTCAGCAACAATTGTTATAAGATTTACAATGAAGATTGCCATTTATTCAATCAATTTATTCCTACTTTTTATACTACATCATATAAATACTTATATAATATTTAAGACATTTATAAATGAATGTTATTTTACATTTAATATCTTACCTTTAACAGTTTAATATTCATTTTTAAATCTGTTTAATGAAAAGGCATTTCAAGGTCAAATCTGCCATTTACTTGCTAGAAATCAGTAAGAGAAGACAGGATAAAAGGATAAAATGCATCAAGAGTGGAAGAAATCCAACCAGAAATTGATTCCTCTTTGTGTGTCTCTGTGTGTGTGTGTGTGTGTGTGTAAGATTGTACTTGTGATGGAAGCTACCTCTTTATATATTTTTCTTTTTTTTCTACATACACTTAATTCTTTTTTTTTAACTCTCATTTGTATTTTCTTTTCTCTCTGTAATTAAAACTTTCAATAAAAATATTTTTTTAAAAGGATCTTATTTCCAAAGAGGAAATTTGCAACTCATTTTCATTTTTGGTTTCAGTGGTTTCAGAAACCAGACTACCCTTTCTTTGAAAGCTACAAGCATTATCGGAAGAGACATCCCAAGCAGCCTTTTTATATCCTGAATCCCTACATGCAATGGCAACTCTGGGATATCCTTCAGGAGAACTCACCGGAGGACATTCAGCCAAATCCACCTTCTTCTGGCATGCTTGGTAAATCTTTGGTTTTTCCTTTTGATTTGTATCCCTATTTTAGAGAAATAAAGTACGAAGATGATATTATGTCCAATATATAGGTAGTCCTTGACTTATGACCACAATTGAGCCCAAATTTTATGTTGCTTAATAAGACATTTGTTGTGAGTTTTGCCCTAATTTACTATCTTTTTTGCCGCAGTTGTTAAGTGAATCACTGCAATTGTTAAGTTAGTAAGTTAATAGAAGATTAGTATGGAATCCTTCAAATTTTCTATCATTAGAGGTTTCTGGGCAAAAGAAGGGGTTTTTTCCCCTTTGTTTTGTTTTGTGTTACTATTAATATTTTTTGCTATTAAATTGTTTCTTTAACATGCCTAAAAGTTTCTCTTTTTCTCTTTTTTCTAGGCATTGCTCTTATGATGCACTTCTGTGATGAAGTGAATGTTTATGAGTTTCTCCCCTCTAAGAGGCAAACAGACAGGTGCCACTATTACCAGAGTGTCCTTGATCAAGCATGCACAATGGGTGCCTACCACCCACAGCTCTTCGAAAAAAATATGGTGAAGCACCTTAATCAAGGCACAGATGAAGATATTTACAATTATGGAAAAGTGACTTTACCAGGCTTAAGGAAAGTACAATGTTAGGAGTGTGTGTATCCCATATTCTGGCCTTGGAAGCCTGTCTTGAATCACAAAGCACTTTAATTTTTAAAAGTAAGAGTTGTAAGGGCCCTTTCAAGAAACCAATGTGCATTTCTTCCATTCAGTTTGCCTTAATTCAGGATTGCAACATGTGCCAGAGACATATACAGCATTCTACAGAATGCATTTCTAATGAGGGCCACGAATGTAATTGCCCATTAGTTGTTACAGGAATGCAATGAAAAATATATTTTAAAAAAATAGGTTTGTGTCTAATTTTTGTGACTGAATTTTTTAAAAATACACCATTCTGGCCAGTTACTGCTTCAAAGCTTCTAAATGAGGCTTGGAAACTTCTAGATGAGGCTTCCATATTTTAGAAACAAGCCAATGGTGGAGGGACCAGGATTTCTGTGCCTTGTTGTCAATGTGTCTGTTCTGCACTATTCAGGTCAATATAAAAATATGAACCAGGATGGCAACTGTGTGAGAAGAATATATGAATTTAGAGAGCCATTTGTAAGGCCAGGCATGCCGATAGACATATGAGAACTGGAAATTCACAAAGTCCACATTCTGGACAGAAAGTGCTACTAGTTTGAAAAGGAGTAAAAGATGTTAGATAGATGTTAAAATTGAACAGCTCTCTCTCAATAGAATGGAAGGGATAGACCTCACCTACTGTATCTCCTGTTTATAACACAATCTTTTCACAACTCCAAGAAGATTTCAATCCATTTGCACTCTGATTTAGGTGATCCTGAGGGCACAGATAAATGCCCCCAAGGGGCCTCAATGACTCTCAGAGAGCTAATGACCTACCTTGAAAGTGCCAACGACCAGATGACTGTAAAAAATACAAATCCTTCCATTCCACAGCATTCAGTCAGAACTGAGGATGCTTCTTAGATAAGAAGCTAAATATCTTCAAAAAAAAAAAAAGTCAAGTTGCCTGTTGAAAAAGCACCTTTGGGACAACCATGACCTGGATGACTGGGAATCTCCATAGACACTGGAAATGAAAACTAATATATCACTGTTAGAGGAATGAATCCCAGCCCTGAGCTCAAGCCTTTACCAAGACATTTTGCAAACCAAAGTAAAGGATGAGATGACTTGTTTTATCCAAAAATTAACACTCCAGAGCTCTTAAAGGTAGCAGAGTAGTATAGCAGGCATGGGATATGCCACTTTCCAACATTTTATTGCTGCTAGTCATCAGCATTCTGTAGGTCCAATTCTGTAGGCGTTGAATAAATGCTATTCCAAATCATATGTTGCAGATACTATAAACAGTGCCAAATTCTGTTAAATGCCTGATATGCTGTGATACTTTCAATATCACTAAAATAAACCCAGTTTTAAGAATTGGAATGTAATTTTTACAAATTTCATTGGCTGCATCTTCCCTATGTGTCATTAAAGATGGAGCTATGAAAAATGTGCTTTATTTTGTTTCAAGAATATGTTTTGCAGGGAAATACTATTTCTACCGATTCTACAATTTCTATATAGTGTGGATAATTTTGAAAATACATGTGTTTTTCATAGATGATGATGAAAAAGACCAAAACTCAATTAATGCTATATAACCTTCAACACGAATGTTGCTGTTTTTCACATATGTATATTCAGGAGCCAAGGTGGCGCAGTGGTTAAAGGCAGCACTGCAGGCTACTTCAGCTGACTGCAGTTCTGCAGTTCGGCGGT